GGTCACAAGTTTTTCTTCTTCTTTTAAATCAGAAAAGTAAATTTAAAACTAAGACATTTTCAAGTTAAGAAATATGAAATTTTAACCTGAGCTTCACCGATCCAACGCATAGGTTTGGAAGAAAGACCAAGTTCTTGGGAGAGAATACTCTCATGCCACCAGTCACTTAGTAACAGATTAAACTCTCCATCGTATCTCAACGTGTCTTTCTGTCCTTTCGCCATGTCGACGATCAACGATCCGTATAGACCAGCTGATCTCTGCATGCCGTAGTGTCCATGGTAGAAATGTGTTCCCGGCTGCAGCATATATCGTTGCTCCAAAATGACATTGTGTACATAATTCTTAATTAATATTGATTAAAAAAAAATGTTACCTTATCAACAGTAAATTTGTAGGTAAAAGTCTCTCCAGGGTTAATTGCACATTGTGTAACTCCTGCTGCTCCATCTGCCCATGGACTTCCAATCTATTCACGAAAAACGCCATTAATTAAATTCATGCGTGCAAAAGAAAGAACTCCTAGACACAAGATATTATTATATGTAGAGTAGAGTCATAGGCCAGAAACCACGTTTAAACAGAATCTCCTAGAAACAAGTTGGTTTATTTTAATTTTCAAATAAATATGAAGCTTACTTATAGAGTATTACTTATTAATTGTTGGGATAAGGGATAGAGTCCGAGGAAAAAAACAACTTCCGAAGAAGAGTCTTAAATGTAGTGATTTCATAGAGAAAGAGTCAATGCATGGCATGTGCTTCTAAAACCATTATTTCTGCAACTTCACCCATTTTCTCTCTTTTTATCAACTTATAACGACAAACCAATTAATAATAATAATTTATACTACTACATTTGACACAATTATTCGATGCTTATGGATGCCAAAAACAAAACAAACAAAAAACAGAGGAAATATAAGATCTGATCACTTAAGTGTCTCCATTTCTCTAGTGTTTAAAATCCGTTCCTTCTCAAAAGAAAGGGAAATATACAAACCAATCTAGTTCAAAAATTTATATATATATACAAACTAATCTTTGTATTGTTTTTTTTATTTCTCTTATAAATTCTATATGTAAATAACTTCTTCTTTTTTTTTTGTTAAGGAAGAACGTTAAAGCCTTGAAAGTTAGTTCGGGTTACTAAAAGGGTCATTTGCAAGAATAATCCAAAAAAAATTAATAACTAAAAATTTAACAAAATTAGCATGTGTGGCCAAATATCAACCCTTAGA